AAAGATACACAATTGCCCTGAACTACATCTTAAAGCTGTACATAAGTTCACATTAGAATAAATTAATCGACCTTGGCGCTGTAGTGGTACAAATGTGGGACTTCATATAGATAACAGCATTGTAACAGAACACATGTGAACCTAATATACGCTTACTGCATTAAATAGGAGTTATAACAGTTCACATAGCCGTATTTCATTTCCACCATTTTGTTCTACGTAACCTAAAATATTTACCAAATAAATCTACAAGATTAATGCAGATTTATCACAAAATACGCAGATAGAGCGAATGAGTTTTGGTTTCATGTTTAAATTAATTACCGTAGTATAATTATAATGCCAATAAAATATCAAAAACTGAAAATGTAAATTTTCCTCTTAGCCAGTTTTAAATATTTCAAAATGAATAAAGCGTTTTTACAGAGGCGCGTGAAAGTTTTAGTTGGCAATATGTATACATTTCACGATAAAGTTGCATTCCCATGGCATTAACCATGGCTAATATAAAACAGGTACTTACCGCATAATCCGCCGGAGTTATTAGTTTTGCCCCGAATCCTTGCACTCCGTACAATTGTCAAACTAAATTATTAAAATGATTTCCACGTGGAAATAATTTAGGACCGCGGTGAATTTAAGGTAGCTTACTGGAGTACTTTTGTCCGATTTTAACTGTGTAGGCTGTGTATTTAGCCACTTATTACTCTTTATTGCACTCATGTACGTTGTATGGTTCACACTGCGTTCCATATAGTGCCGTAAGTCAGCCTTAAGATCGATGTTACTACTTAAACTGCTATTATAATGCTATTATACTTCTAATGTACAGCCATAGTGAACTTAAGGCTGTCTAATTTGTGCCCAAACTGGTTCAATAAAAGCATTATAGCAAGCTATACAGCTCATATACAGCTGACATACACAGCTTGTAGAGTACATGTGAACGACTAGACATCTTATATAGAACCCCGAATGCTACTTGGGATCTGTACAACAAAAAATTTGAAGTGAAACTATCTTTAAGACGGGTAAAATGGAAAAATCCTATGGAAAAGATGAAAAGGAAAGGCATCATAATATGTATATAGTGTGTGTGTGGGATGCGTGCGCAGCTCTTCCCGACGAGCATGAAAGTTAGAGGGTAACTCGGCGACTACACAGGGTGTAAAAAATCCTATGACAAAGACTAAAGCTACGCATTCTGTACACCCACAAGTAATATTACAAAATATTATACGCGGTAATTATCATTTGTATTTTTAAGTTAAAAAAATACTATTTTTTTCCAGTACGCAATGTACTGTGCTACTGTGGGGCTACGCAAAGCATGTGCCTGTGTGTATGTGTGTGCGTGTGTGTAAGTGCGTCGATAAAAAAATATCTAAATAACGTTTTGAAAATATTAATGTAAAAATCTTGAAAAAAAATTGTGACTTTGACCTTGGATATCTCCATAACTATAAATTTCCCAGGTAAGGTCCAGAAGAAAAAAATGATTGTCATGATGTGGAACATACGTGGCCTTCGACTTCGTTAAAGGTTTTTTTACACCTGTATATATATGTGAGTGATGTGTGCGCTGCTCCATTTCCCTATGCCTTATGCCCCGCCTTATGTTAGGTTATTTAAGAAAAGAAGTTCACTGCAGATGTGTGGTCCGTGCACACTATTTTTTTAGTTATCTTTAAAGTAAAACCAGGTTATAAAAGTAAAGATGGCAAGAATCTGTACATGTAAAATATTACCTACTTCTTATTACATTAAAAAAATGACCTGGGGGTGGTGTTATTAAAACACATTACTTCATGTGACAATAATACATATAGCCACCAGTACACATTTAAATAATCAACTTTTAAGGCAAAGTATCAATTAGTTATATAAAATTACACAAAATATACATCGTTTAAAATTAGATAATATTACATAGAGTAATAGTTTTATTTCATGCACAATAAAACAGGTGTATGTTTAATACAAAACATAACATTATTATTTTAAAACTTATTATTAGTACATTATCATTTTAATTTTATACTACCGGGAAATAATAACTTCACAGGATCTATTAGGAATATTCTAATCCTTCTAAATCACAGCTCGACTAATACGCAGGTATTTGGAAATATAATTTTATCAGTCGATGTGGTTTTATTACCTAGTGATTGTGGTCTTATGTTTTTATAGTAAAGTCGAGTGTGCAGCAATTGATTCAATTGTTCTACAGCTCACCAAATAATGAATGTGTGATTTGTATACAACTACAAATTTCTAGGGGAAAATTTATTTATTATAGTGCCAAAACACAAGTTTTATAAGAAGAATATCACGAGACGCAAATAAAAGAGTTAGTACATTGATAAATGTCATAATTATTTGTAATTATACTATAATGACTAATCATAACATGAATATAAGTTTCACAACTTGTACAATTCCATGCATAATGTAAAATTTTAATAATATTGCACTAACATATTACGATATACGTTTTCGTATTATAATAATGACATATAGCGTAGAATGGTAACCACAAAAATGTGGTATTAGCTATATTTCAATATAAAATTTTGGACGCGATGAATTTTAAAAACTGCTAATCAGCAACTGCTTTTTGAAAAAGTTTCGAGTCAAGTAAAAACATCTCAAACTTACAATTTCATAAAAACAATCAATAACCATTTTTCTCAATCAAGCGATCGCTTTGAAGTTTGTAAGTCAATAAAACAATACATTATTTTGTTAAAATGAGCATTTAGGACGCAAATACATTTTTTGGCAATGCCAATAAAATTTTCTAACAAACTGACATTTTCGTAGTGCATTAACAATGTGTCTGTGACAAAACAATAAAAATAGAATTTGGCAGAGTCGATTAGCATTTCAGTCCATTTGATTGATTAGATTTAATCTAATAATCTGGTATAAAATTCAATTTCATTGAATAATTCATTTAAGATTTCATGTTAGCACTTCATGTACCGTCTCGCCACTGCCAGAGTTATTCACAAATAAATAATATAAAACAACAGAAATTGTAAAAAATATTGCGTTTCAAGTTCATGAAATAATCATTTTATGTAAATTTGTTATCTCTTGTGCAAACTGACATTGATCATCTTATAGTCTAATCGCTAAACTATGTATTTTCGAATTGTATATAACACATTAAGCATTTTTTGATCAAATGAACCTAATTTTTAATGGATTCATAAATAAAGATAATGATGATAAACATACACAATATTCAATAACAATTCGCTTGTTTTGTCACTTTTTATGTCTAGATTTTTTGGCTCTTCTCTATTTTGAAGAGTCCAATTTTTTGTCATATTTTATTAAATACGATAAATTCTTTGTCAAATAATACGGGTTCAGTGCAAGCGTCGGATACAGGTATAAATATTTGCAAAACAAAAATAATACTAATAAATTAAATAAGGTGAATATATATGAGTATTTAAATGTGACCTATATACATATATTGCTTGCATTTTATGAGCTATTTCTTGTTTAAAATATAAGATTGTATGTAAAACGCTATTAGTGATAAATCGTTTGCGCTTGATTTGGATGCTGTCCTAATAGAAAGCGAGCAAACGACCATTTTGCTCGTTCACGCGAATTATATCCGTGCGAATCCGCGAAGAAACATATTTGAAGACCTTAATATTTCACTTATATAATATGTTTGATGCGCGTTTTGGCAATGGTCGTGCAATCGCGTTGTATAAGAAAGACTCGCAGAGAAGTGAATAAGATCGAAAACAATTATTAACAGCCGCCTATATTTTGTTCTGATTTGATATCGAATTAGTATTCTATGGCAATTAACCCACGGCGCTAAATTTCAAAATAGGTCCCTGGGTAAAGCAGCAGCTTTTTTAATTGTAACTGGAGACTCAAATCCGTCTTTCCCAGTGGGCACTTTGGGCAAGTGCCCAGGGCCCCGCGATCGATAGGGGCCCTTTAATCACCAAACGGAAGTCATAGGGGCCCCATTATCCTAATATGCCCAGGGCCTCCAATAGGTCACAGACGGCACTGTGGAGAATGTCTTGCAAATATTCACACTTGTATGCCATTCGCTTTATTAACACATCAAACATGAGTTTTAATACTGTTTTGATTATACCGGCTATTCTCAATAATATGAAGCCTCAGAGAGAGATAGGTTTTCACGGTTTCTTTTGTATGTTGCAATTTCAATAGAGTATATGACTGATCCATCGTGCCATCTTTGTACCGTACAGCATACTTTCGAGGGGTACCGTCATGGTCTCGCAGCGCCATGATATGGTTATGGCGGATAGGACAGGATCTGTCTGTGCTAAGAGTCAAACTATAGTAATTTTTCAAATTGTGATTGACGTCCAGTATTTATATCCAGATTTCTTGTTTTATATAGGTGTCACTGAGGATGAATTCTTGAACTATGTTGTTTTTTACATTGTTATGACGTCACTGTTATTTCAGAATATGTGCATATAAACATCCGGTACATAGTAAATATATTTTCGTACGTTTTCATAATTAAATTATGTACTTTCGTAAAAACGATTATCAGAAATCACTATATGAGTAAAAGTAATCTAAGCGCATCCTTCGATATATTTCCAGTTAATCTATATTTTTATATCACATACAAGCATCACACTTTAGGGCGAGAAAGGTGACGAAATATAGCAGTTGATAAATATTAGATAAACATCTTTCAGCGGTAAGCCAAAGGAGGAGTCGATATAGTTGTCATGTCTAGCGACGCATGTAGAAGAGAGACTAGTATGTTGGTGAGACTGAGACCTGTCTCATTGAAACACCTTTTAAAATTTGTGAATTTTGCATTTGAAAGTAATTTCCAACCTCCTACCAAATAAGTTGGAAGATAAATCAAAAGATCTTTCAAATACAAATTTTAAATGGCAAATACGAAGGATTTTCCAAGTCTTCAATTGATGAAGGTATTTGTAGTTTCTACTAATACCTTTTTTAATATCGTATTTAAAGGTGCTTAGTATACAGCTGAGCGAAGCAATAATATCGTTAATTCCTACTACATAAGGGTGCATTGACAGGAAATATGTCGAAGGAAGATTCATCCAGATGTCAATATTTGAAAATGAACTATTGAGATATGTTCTCAAATGTCAATATCTGGAAATTTACCAATCGAGTTACGTTCTCAAATGTCAATATTTGGAAATGTACCAATCGAGGTACGTTCTCAAATGTCAATATTTGTAATTAAATTATTGAGCGGGCTGCGATTTAGTTATTCTTTTGGCACCGCGGTTAGGTGGCCCTTTGGGCTTAGCGAAGGCAGGCCGGTGAAGATTTCTCTTCGGGTGAATCTCGTCGTATAAGGATTCTTCTGTTAGCTCTTTGCCGTCGTCGATCTCAAGCTAAAATCATTATTAATATTATTGAGCTATAAAAAAAACTGAAAATTTAGCAATTTAAAATACCATGGGGTAGGAATAGGGAACGTAGTGATATTCTAATATCGTAAATGTCTATAAGCTATGGTGACTGCTATGAATAGACTAAATTGTCTGCTGGGTACTTATTTCACTAATCTTTTCTTAAATAATTGATTGACTGATTCATTAATAAAATACCACATTAATGTTACTATTTTGAAACTACAAACAGAAATTACTGTTACTACTTTTACTTGGTAGATCATAATTGTTGATAGAACCATGTCACCATTAAACTAACGTAAATATTATAAAAAATCGTATAACTTACTCTTTTGGCAATCTCGACTCCCATTCTTTCAATAATCTCTAAGAATTGTCCTTTACAGCTTGAATACATCATTCGCTCCTTTATACTGCAGCTGTATCCTGGCATTGAATAGATGAACACTGGAAATTTGAAAAATAATATTTTTACATGACTGGCAAATAAGGAGCTCGATTGTTGCGTTTTGTTTATTCCGCAATAAAAATATAAGATGTTGGAGAATGATCTGCTGCTAAGCTCACTCACATCTATAGGACACCAAAAATATCACACGCGCTATTATAGCCGAATTCGTGGATTTCGTTATGCCTAAAGGTTGACTGGCAGAGAATGCTTTTAGCGTTAAGTCCGCCTTTTGACCATTTTTGTAATTGTGGCAATAAAGTTTAAATAAATAAAATATCCCCTACCAAAAACACAACACCACCAAAAGGAGTGATATTTTACTGTGATCTCCTGTAAGATGGAGGTTACTTCTCCAGACTATGCCCAGGAAAATCCGCTAAGTCCTACCTTTCTAAAGATGTAGTACTCGACCTTCATAAGTACTTGAAATAGCTTAGACTGAATAAATTAAATATATTTAATTTGAATTCATAAGCCTTACAGACGCTATAAAAGTTATATATTGTGACTTACCAACACTAGAAAGGTGGTCGCCCTCGTGAGAATGGTCGAACACATAAAGATGGTATCTGGCCTGGTCGCTCGGCACTTGCTTTGGCAAATCGCCGCGTTGTATCTCCCCCGCTTTTGACAAATGTATCTTCTCTTCTTCTAAGTCTGAAAAGAGTGACCATTTTAACCAACCAATTCCGAGATTCATGAATATCACAATATTACTATTGTGGTAGAAGAATACGGATTGCCACAAATAAATATCGAAGGCGGCTCGAAAATCACCCAAATACACTTGCAACCAGACTCGTTACTTGTGTCTATTTGACATTGTCTGTATTACTACTCTGTAAAAACAAACTCTCTTTTCACTGTGGAATTCGCCGGAGTGATATGAAATTTATTTGAAATTCGGTTCTAATTTTAGATGACACCACGGATTCCGAGGTGAAGAGTTAAGTTTGTTCTTACAGAATAGCACTGCTGACTAAACTATTCTCTTCTGCAAGCATGAAAACGCATGATATGTGAGGAACATTATTTTCAGAGTACTACATTAATCCAAGACAATTTGCATCCAAAACAGAGAATAATACTTTCTTGATGATGACTTGACTATTTAAATAAATATGTTATAAGAAAAATTAATAGTGATTTCACCTACCTATTCTAAATTGTAAATAATTGTAGGAACCGCGTCTGAGATCAAGTATACCCTGTTCTGCTGCTTCCGTTATCGGAAATGCTACTCCGCCCATCGTTGACTGTCTGTAAATTACAACATAATCATTTTATGCATGGCATTTTACAAAAAAAACACATTACTATGTGGAGCATAAAACTTGTACACCTTTCAAAGCACATTTACCACATGAAGGACAATGTAATATTAGCGTAAATGTCACAAAGAGGAGTGGATGAAGGAGAATGTAAAATTTATGCAAGTATGATTTATTAAATATCATCATCAGCCTATTAATGTCTTCATTGCTGGGGCACAGGCCTTCCCTATGGATGGAATAGGGAGATTGGACCATGACCCCCACCACGCGGGCCCAGTGCGGATTGGTGGGTGCTAACGACTGCATATGCAACCGGGACCAACGGCTTAACGTGCCTTCCGAAGTACGGAGGAGCTCGAGATAGTAAATTTTTGGTCACCCATCCAATGACCGACCACTGCGAAAGTTGCTTAACTTCAACGATCGCAGCCGAATGCGCTAACCAGTTGCACCATCGAGCTCCTCTTACAAATATGTAATTTATTAAATAAATTATTGCACAATAGGTGTATTGATTACTATGCAATCTTGCAGTTTCAACAAAAAATATTATAATCATCCACAGCTGATGCAAGTAATAGAAAATAGGTACCTACATTAAATGATAGTAAAAGTTTTCAGAAGACATTTGACAGAATAATATCTATGATTATTTATTGAGTATTACATTGATACAAATGTACATTGGTCCATAATAAACTAAATAATTTTATGAATTACATATTTGTGTAATGAAATCTTATTTACCAAAGGCAAACATGTTTAAAAGCTCACATAGACTGACATAATGAATAGAATGAACTTCCAAATATTATTTTAATATTAATAAATAAAATACTGATCACTATATTTAACTTGTAATATTTTTATATATTTTTATTGTTGAGTTCTTTTTCAAATTTGTTTAAATAATTATCAGATATCACAAAATGATCTACTATAGCAGATCAATGTATAACATACCTTGAGTCTGTGCCATAGTTAGTGTTATGTTCAGTCTGTTGCAGCTCCTTCAATGCTTCTTCTCTATCAGTAAGCGGTGCTGGAGCACTTATACCACTTAGATGTGCTTTATAACCTTTTAAGCATACTTCTTCCTAAAAATAAGAATGAAATGTTGCAATATGCATAGCTAAATGATTTTACTTAAAACTTTGCTTTTACTAAGTCAAATATCATTATAATAGTAACAAATAATATTATACAAACACTTTTAAAAGAATAGATTTTTAATAAAAGGATATCTGCACTAAAGTAGATTTAAACTGATATTCATAAATATTAGAATCATAAATTTTTACCTTAACTGTTGCATGCATTTCATCTTTTATATGGGCAGAACCAAACTCTTGCTTCAAGGTGGCTTTTGTGGATGCATACAACATTTTTTGCCTGACCGGTGCACTGTCTGGTGACCAACTTAGTAGCAACCAATCATAACCAAGGGAGTTTGTTGTATCCAACCTGTAGATAACCAATTCAAAATACACCTGATTAAAGCATACATTACATTTTCTGATCTGTCTGCAAAATTTCTTTGAATTCATTCTTTATTATTTCACCAATTGATTGTGATGTCAAAATTATATTTCATAACACTTAAGACACCTTCATTACTTTTTACCCGGCTGCGCAATACAAGAGCGCGAAGCGCGACGCGCAGACAGGGTTATGTGTTTAACAGTCTATATATGTATGTTTGTTCCTTTGTGGCACACTAGAGACCAAACGCCTTAACCGATTTTGATGATTCATACATCAATCGATTCGTCTTAATCATGGGAGTGCTACTAAAGATATGATAGTAATCAAAATTCAATATTGGCAAAATTAGGCGCCATATTGTGACGAAGTAAAAAAAATAAGTTTCCAAAATATGTCGAGTGGGGTATCACTGTCTAGATAATCAAAAATCATATTTAGGTTCCTAACACCATTTTTCATTTTATATGATTATTTAGGATCTACAACGCTTTAAAGTTGTATATTAACCACTTACGCTTTTAATTTCAATCTTACGTTTGTATGGATCTTTGTTACTCTTTCACCTAAAAAATACTGAATGGATTTTAATGAAACTTAACAGTAATATAGCTCATATATGATAATTACATATATATAATAATTTATGTAGTTATTGAGTGAATTGGCCAATATATAACAATAAGTGTCACATAAGACGGAAAAAAATCTCCCATCTGCGAGCCATTTTGGCCTGCACTGCAAAAACAATAAAAGTTACATGTGTGTAATGCAGAGTGAAAATGTATCTCTTAAATAGTTCTAAAAAAAGTCCGTGACACCATATACCTATTTTTAATGTCTAAGTCATTACCGCTAAAATAGTGAATCAAAACTAAAATATAATTTGATATCTATTTCCAAAATGCACATTTTGAATTAACAAATCATTTTTTATCAAAACAAATACTTTTATCGCTTTTGATATTTAAAGACGATAAACTTTGCTTTTTACACTATGTCATTTCGACAAATATTTAAAAAGTTACAACGATGACAAAGTGATAGCGCGGTGTACTAAGTAAAAGAAAAAAAAATGGGCTATTCGCAGTATCTGATCCTATACGAAGTACTAACAATAAAACTGTGATACAGTTCCTTCTTATTAAATGATGAAAAATATATTATCATAGTAGGTATTTATGATTATTGAATTTCAATGAAAAACTCAGAATTTTACTGTTTTTCATTTTATTAACGATATTACTTAATGTTACAAAAAAGGTTTACTTAATATAATGACAAATAACCAATTTTTCACTAGTAAGTACATACTTATTGGAATACCTGTATTTATTAATCAGCTCGCGATAATATTGGTTTTGTAATAATTCTGCAAAATTCAAAGTAAATAATGTAGATTTTTTTAGGTAAATCACCCCTTTCATCACCCTACGCCTATAAGTATTGCGATGTTGTAGCTAAGAACCAAGTTCCCATCTACTTCTATATGGGAATTCATTATATTCGATTTAGCTATTAGGGCACGGGAGCGCAACAAACAAACTCACTTTCGCATCTATAATATTATATTATACTTACTAGTGATCCACCCGGGCATTGTACGGGCGAAATTTATTTATCGGGATAAAATATAGCCTATGTCACTCGGACAAAATGTATTTAAATAAAGAAAAATGTAATAATAAATAATGTAGCTACCTTATGATGAATTAATATTTGAAACTGGTTCAGTAGTTTGACAGTTTATTTGTTACAAACATACAAATCTTGCCTCTTTATAATATTTGTATAGATAGTTAGAATAAGATAAGTATTTAATTGATGATAAAAAGATTTAAAAATAAAGTAAGTAATAGGTTTATTTGATTATATTTGTAAAAGTTACTTAGCATTTGTGCTTAACAGTGATATGTTATTCGGTATTTTTTTTTAAAAAAAATTGGAAAATAATTTCCATGATTGCACTACTGGGAGTACTCTTCATTCGAGCTTTACACTACCAATAAAAAAGGGTCGGTCACAAAGTCTTTGACCTGTTATATGTGAACGCTTTAAAAGAAAACTACAAAGAGAACTATAAATTGATAATAAATGAGATTGCTATGGTGCTCTACCTAACGTTATGAAAATTTTATTATGCGCCTTTAGTTTAATCAAATATTATAAACTTTGCTTTGGTGATTGCATAATTATTTAATTTAGTGATCTAAGGCAGTTGCCACCATTGTCCAAAACAACAAACGGGAATTACTGCTTTCTTCAACCTGCGACATAAACGTCATTGATTGGTATTGTATATAGGGTGATTAAAAACATTTGAAGTTAACTTCTGGCATCTACATATTGGGTTTCTGTGAATTATGTAGGTATATCAAATTATGAGACTAGGGACTGACACTGCATTTGTGTATATCACAATCTTAGACGTCCGGCATTGACATGATAATGCAGCCACTGCCAATTTTAAATAGTCGACGAATTAAAGTAAATGAATTTTATATTTACTGCTAAACTATTAAAAAAAACATAAACAAAAGATGACTTTTTGAGTAAGTGCAAGTTTACTATAAATATTACATACATTAGAGATATTTATGTAACGACTTGATTTAACTTCACACATTTTTGCGAAAATTGAGGCCCATCTGTAGCCTTGACGCTCATACTAGCATAAATAAAATATGAACTGACTCAACTACATAAGCAACTCTTACACGCACACATCTGTTTATAAACATTCAATAATATATAATATAGACAGAACTGTATGCTTCAAGGATGTGCGAGCGAAACAGTGAATCCGCTTCCGAGTCCATAAGGCAGAGCTGTATTGCTTCTACTTTCTTAATAACAAAATGTCGATTACGTAAATAATACACACAACAAACTATGATTTTTGCAAAAAAAATGTTTTAACAGTTTTATGAATGAAAAGTCTTGGTTTTGAACTATTTGTGTTCTTTATAAAAGCATTGTTTTATCTTTATAACACAGAATATATGCAATATTGTTATACTGAGTGCACATGCACCACAATTTAAGCTGATCACTTTTGAGCCGCGAGCACCATATTTTGCCCTTTTTGTTTTAATCTAAGCTTGTTAAGTAATAATAAATATAATGATAAAATAATATTTTTATTTACTTAATTAACATCATAGATGAAGTATTGGATTTGATTCAATGGACTTGTATAGTATTGTATAAGACCTTTATACAGTATTATAGGTACAAGTCGTAATTTGCCAATGACAGAGGTATCAGTTGTCTCATCATAACAGACATCATTGAAGATTTTTGACAATGGTTTTCAGAGAATGTTGAACAGTTTATGCAGAATATATAGATATTGGAAACATGCTGAGGCCCAAGCAAGAATTTTTGACAGCTCCCTAAAATATTTTTTGGGGCTCCATCTTGGCACAACATACCTGTACAATATGTAGCATGGCTGGTCGTCAACAATCAATGTGGGTACATATTTATCAAAATCATGTTCCCATGTTCCTTTCACAGCACAGTGCTTGGTCAAAGTAAGTTGTTCTGAAATTAAATGGTAGTCACATATGAAAATAAGTGGGTTAGACAAAAGTGTAAAGGTATGATGAACACACTCTTATCAGCTATATTTCATTACAGATTAATTAAAAAAATGGGCTGCCATTTGCCCAAGCCTAATCTAGAGTATTTAATATGGTTGAATAATAAATAAACAACATTACTGTCCAAAGCATCTGGTAATACATAATATAGATAATATATGACGATCATATTTCATACTTATACATGACAGGAAAAAGTTGCAAAACCCCGCTTCTTTTTTTTAATGTTATCTAGAATGAAATATAGCTGCTATCAAAACAGAAATACTATATTTAGAAGCGACTCATATTAGACACTAATTAGGATCCTAATTATAATTAATATAAAATGTGAATTATTTGCGGGAAAATAAAATCAATACTAGTCGGTCTGGCTAAACATTATTTTAAATTAAAATTAACTCACCATTGTCTATGCTGACTTTCATAACACGGAGTTTTCCATCTCGACACTTTCCAAAGTACTTCTTGAGCTCTGCATTTGCTGTAAAATCCGCATAATTATGTAAGGAACTGTATCATCATTATAATCCAATGTATACAATTGTATTATTTGGTGATATAGAATAAACATCGTTGTCATATTCTTAGCAGTGTAATGTCTTCTCATGCCTCTCGATAGCTATTTTTAGTGATTGAAAGTTAGAATGTGGGTGTGAAATAATAACAGTACAATAAAATCTAGACTTAAATATTAAGTACCTTGAATTCCTGTTTGATGAGACATCTTGAATACCTATGCGTAATCAATGCGTAGGGTATGATTCGTTAACCTAAAATATAAAACTGTGATAGATAATTTCTTTACTAAAATTGTAAAGAAAGCAAATTGATATAAATACATAAATTGACGGCCACGATAAGCAAAGTGACATTTATATTACTTGCTCAGGGCTACGTTTAAAACCTACGTCGCTCTGAGTTGAGTGCAACTTTTTATCCTGATGTTTCATTTTTGACATAAAATGTATGGAACCTATGTCAAAATTGACATTGGATGCACGCGGAGCGTAGGTTTTGAACGCGACCAGTGGTAACATGTCAGAATTGTCAAACTGTCATGTCACTGTCATTGTCTTTTTTTACCCTATTGTGAAAGGCAAAGACAAAGTCAGCCTTCTCGATAAGCATGTGTGATGTACTTAATCTCACGGCCACTTGACCGTATATTTTAAAGAATCCACTAATTCTTTAGTTGCGCAGACGGTTGTAACAGAAAATAACACCAATATACACTATAAACGAATTAAAGAATACCAAAAATATCACTGCACTCGATGAAATCGCGTCGAAAACTCCTTTAAGTTTTATTCTTCCCATTGGAAAAGGCAAAACAAAGCCATGCAACATCGGTATTTATTAAAAACTGTAAGGTAAAGGTAATAAATGGGTAAAATACTCTCAAGCGGCCATCGACCGGCAGTCGGTTTTTGTTAGTACTCCGATTTGCGGCAAGCGACCGACAGTCGGTTTCTAGCCTACCCACATAATCTGTGGAAAATATTACAACCACCCCCACTAGAGTCCGCATCACACAAATTTTGTTTAGAGACACGAAAAAAGTATCGATACTTTGTGGTATCGAGTACTTTTCCTTTCGATACCGATACTTTTGTACTCGATACTTTGTATTCGATACTTTTACTAAATGAGGACTTTTTGGCAAGTATCGATACCTTTAAAAATTTGGATAAGCGCCTCATATTGATGGCAACGCCATCTTGTTAAATCATAGCAAACCTTCTAAAACGTTCCATAGGGTATTTGACAAGTTTTAGGCAACGATCTCACGTTATTAACTAATGTTTATGGAGTCCGTAAAAAGTGGATATTCATCATTCTGTCGTGTATTTCAGTAAAAATAACCAAATCAAAAACTCCATTTTCAAGTTGCCGCGAAAACGTTTCTCTGGACAATATGGCGTCTTACTAGTGTGTGACGTCACACGACTGTTATTAAAACGTCAAACGATACAATGTAATGTCACTTTGACCGGAAGTTTACTTGCGTGTGACGTCATTTTAGGCTCCGCCAATCCCAAGCGTTTTGGGTCACGTGACAATAGATAAGAAAACTAATATCTTTTTCGTTATTTTGGCACTTTATTTTTAATACTGTCAAATGCCCTGTTGCGTTGTTATAAAGTCAGTAACTGACATATTCAAATTCTTTCCAATCTGTGACTGTGTTTATTTTGCGCTTTGTTTTGTTTCATAGTTATTTATTTAGCGACCATATTGTTAGGAACTGTGATTGATTCGCCGTTTATTGTGCTTTTCGCTTGACTGTATTTGATTTATTCAAGTGTAACACTATTATTCTGTCTGTGCTGTGTATACGTATTTGAAACCACCTGAAAAAAAGACGAACCTAACCTCTTCTATAATTATAATCTTGAGTGAAGTATGCCAATGGCAGCCGTTAACTACGTGTCAGTTCAAGTTAACATAAGTGGGTATAATTTTTTTAATGATTAAAAATTCAAGAAAAGTAAGTTTAATTTGAAACAAATCGTTTTTTGCTTAGCTTTTATTTTGTTTTTATTTGTATAAAATAGTACAATAAATAAAGTGTATTGTTTTCAGCTTGAGACTTGGAAATATCGTCGTCTATTAAGAGATGACGAAATTGATTTCTTCCTCAATTATGGTACGATATTAGTAATTTTTAATTGAATGAAGGAATTTAGTGATAATATTATAGAGTGAATACGTATGTGCCATTTCTTGTTCTATCTGCAGGTAGTGAGGAGGAGGAGGAGGAAGATGACGATGATCTGCCCATCGACGACCAGCGCCTTATAACCAATTTACGATCAATAAGAATGCTGCTTCTGAGAGAGGAGGACACGCAAATCTAGTTGGAGGCAGCAGGTCGGATAGAAGAAGTTGCGGACAGCGAGGTGGCGGGACCGACAAGTCTTTTTGACTTCCGGTGGGTTCCGTATGGCGCAACCCCCATTTGCCCTGTCTCAAGGAGGGAGTTGTTTGTTGGACAATGTGGTCCTACACGTGGTCCTACACGTGGTCCTGTCGCAAGTGCTTACGAAGCTTTCGTTAGCATTTGGGATAGGCCCATAATGGATCATATTGTCCAACAAACGAAAAAAAGACCAAATTCTGGCGGCTTAAGGGTAGGCCTTTGGAACGTAAGAGGACGTTTGGTATAAGATTTTTTTTAGGAAAATTCTAAATGTGAGTGTCTTGAATAGTTTTATACTATTCAGAACACAAAATGCAATAGAACACCTAGATTTTAGGAAGAACCTGGTCATTGAAATTTTGAGGAAACATTCCGTCTCGCCTGAGATGAGAATGTCAAGTGTCATCCCGTGGAAACAAAAAGTTTACGGCGGAAGTTATTTCGCACATGCCATCGGGGCTCCCAGTGGGTGGTAATGTTCATGACTGGAAGAGGCGCAAATGCGCAGTCTGCAAAGATAAAAGGACCCATATTGTATACAGAGCATGCAATGTGAACTTGTGTTACAATTTAACAGGCGGCCAAGCGCATACGCCGTTCACCCGACCTGCGGCCACCACCTTTATGAGGCCCCGCACGGGTTGGGAACGATTGCATTGTTTTACCGATTTCTCTATTATTTTGTAAGAATACCCTACACAAACTATGTATATTTAGATTCTCCATAAAAATTCATGTCTTTATTTTATTTTAATTACGTTATGGTACACTCAGGAAAGATAAAAAAAGTCGTTTAGTTGGGTAAAATGAGGTATATTTTCAAAATTTGTAATATTTAGGTACAGGTTTTTTGGTTATTTGTACATTGTATTATAACTTACCAAATAAAATTATAAAATACTATACTCCACTTTTATTTTATACTATACCTATTACAATCAACGCGCCAGATGCGACACCCAAAAACGTACACAAAAATTACAACGATGACAAAGTGATAGCGCGGTGTACTATGTAAAAGAAAAAAAAGGTAAATTTAAAAAATCTAAAAACCCGACTGCTTAGTTATACTTCAAATAAAAACTGAAATGAAAAAAACAAGTCCAGTAGTCTATAATTCTGTTAATAAGGAACAAAGCTACTTTAACAGCCGGGACCCACTGTTGAAAAATATTATGTATTCTTGAATATCTAATGGGTCCCGACTGTTACAGTAGCTTTGTTCCTTATTAACAGAATTATAGACTACTGGACTTGTTTTTTTCTTTTCAGTTTTTATTTGAAGTATAACTAAGCAGTCGGGTTTTTTGATTTTTTAAATTTACCTTTTTTTCTTTTACATAGTACACCGCGCTATCACTTTGTCATCGTTGTAACTTTTTAAATATTTGTCGAAATGACATAGTGTAAAAAGCAAAGTTTATTTATCTTTAAATATCAAAAGCGATAAAAGTATTTGTTTTGATAAAAAATGATTTGTTAATACAAAATGTGCATTTTGGAAATAGATATCAAATAATATTTTAGTTTTGATTCACTATTTTAGCGGTAATGACTTACACATTAAAAATAGATATATGGTGTCACGGACTTTTTTTAGAACTATTTAAGAGATACATTTTCACTCTACATTACATTCATGTAACTTTTATTGTTTTCGCAGTGCAGGCCAAAATGGCTCGTAGATGGGAGATTTTTTTCCGTCTTATGTGACACTTATTGTTATATATTGGCCAATTCACTCAATAACTACATAAATTATTATATATATGTAATTATTATATATGAGCTATATTACTGTTAAGTTTCATTAAAATCTATTCAGTATTTTTTAGGTGAAAGAGTAACAAAGATCCATACAAATGTAACATTGAAATTAAAACATAGTAAGTGGTTAATATACAACTTTAAAGCGTTGTAGATCCTAAACAATCATGTAAAATGAAAAATGGTGTTAGGAACCTAAATATGATTTTTGATTATCTAGACAGTGATACCCCACTCGACATATTTTGTCAACTTTTTTTTTACTTCGTCACAATATGGCGCCTAATTTTGCCCATATTGAATTTTGATTACTATCATATCTTTAGTAGCACTCCCATGATTGAGACGAATCGATTGATGTATGAATCATCAAAATCGGTCCAGGCGTTTGGTCTCTAGTGTGCCACAAAGGAACAAACATACATATATAGACTGTTAAACACATAACCCTGTCTGCGCGTCGCGCTTCGCGCTCTTGCTTTGCGCAGCCGGGTAAAAAGGCTCGTGTTTCTAGCGGTGATAAAAACAAAGGCGAGCTCCAAATGCCTTGAAACATTTCTTATCGTTAGGTTAGATTGTTTATGTTAATAAGTTCCAAGTCTAGGATCAATAGCTTTATTCATTTTATGGTTACAAGCACTCGCAACAAGGCATTTGAAATCGCCTACAAATCAGTCATTCTCAATTTTATGTCGGTAAAACTAAAAGTAATTACAATTTTGTTAAACAGTTTCTTTTAACAAAATGTACACATGAAATTTGCTATAGAATACACAAAATATAGTCACTAGTTCCAATACAAAAACATATTCAAATAAACTCACAAACATCGCGAACTTTAGGTCAAAAAAGCCATCAAAAAGTACATGGATCATATAAAGGTGCACAGTAGATGAGGCATTTTTCTAGTGTGCACAGTTGCGTGCAAGGTTGGGTTTAAAATTAGCTTAGTACCAAATTAACATTATCTATACTTATAATAAATCTGTACAGAGGTCAATTCTGTACATGAAATATATTTTCAAAATAACTATCAGGGGGTGATTAGTGATCGGTACTGATGCCATAAATGCAATCAGTAAAATTTTTGTCTGTCTGTCTGTGTGTATGTTCCTTATAGAAACAAAAACTACTCGACGGATTTTAACGAAACTTGGTACAATTATTTTTCATACTCCTGGGCAGGTTATAGTATACTTTTCATTACGCTACAATCA